GGCCCCGCCGCGCACCGCGCCCGGCCCGCGGCACGGCCCGTTACGGGGCGCGCCGCACCCGGACCGAGCAGGAGCGCCGATCAGCACCGACCGCCGCGTGCTGCGCTGATTCATAGAATGGTTAGGGCTGGAAGGAACCTTCAAAGGTCATCTAGTCCAACCCCCCTGCAAGGAACAGGGATATCTCCAACTAGATCAGGTTGCTCAGGGCCTCGTCCAACCTGGCCTTGAACGATTGAGCAGCCCTGGTAAAGATCCTGAAATCATTTCACAGAATGGTTTGGGTTGGAAGGGACCTCAAAGATCATCTAGTTCCAACCCCCCTGCCATGGGCAGGGATGTCCTCTACTACACCAGGTTGCCCAAAGCCTCACCCAACCTGGCCTTGGACACTTTCACTGCAGGCGTTTTGATACTCAGAGGAAAAGGGCTCAAGCATCCACGCAACCACGGCAGCTCAGGCCAAGGAGCATCTGTTCCACTCACGCCTCATCTCTAGCGCATGCCAGTCCCCCCTCCCTGTTGCTTCACTGATCTCCATCTCCACACCCTCAGCAAAGCGGTTTTAGCCTTTAAAAGCCACACTGTATTTGGTCACTCCCCCACCCTTACTGAACAACAGGAATACTGTTTAACTGCCAAAAGAAGTTATTTGCACTTCGCCCGAGCCCTGTGCTTTTTCCCTTAAAGCCATCCCTCCTTCCAGACCAACTACAGAAACTTTGGAAGATGCAACTTCCCCCAAAACTGAGCAAAGTGCATTTCAGATGTTTAAAGCCATGTAAGTGTTCAATCTGGATTGATGCTAAATGTGAATTTTCCATTTCCTCTGTTCACAGTCTTGGGTTCTACAGTGGGGTGTTGGACCAACCTTGAAATAGTTTTAGCTTCTACTTTACCCACCAACCAAATTTTAAATTTATGAGTTGGATTACACAACTTTTAATCAACCACAGACACAGCCAAGTTTTTGCTATTAGATTTATTCTAGATATATCAGCACTTAAATCTTATTGAAAGCAGCTACATCCATTGATTGTACATAATCTTCAAAAGCTGTTATCTTCTCTTCCAGCATATCTGTTCCAACTTTATCGTCTTCAACAACACACTGGATCTGAAGTTTTTTGATACCATAGCCAACTGGTACTAGCTTGGCTGAAAAAAAAAAAAAAGCATTTAGTACTCCTTGATTGGTGGAATCCCTTAAAAATACATATCTAGTAACACTGAACTGACTAAAGTAGTTTGTGGGAATATATTAAAAAAAAGTAATTTGTTCCGTGTTACAGACGTGTTAATCAACACCCCAGCATTCATTACAAAGCAGTCAAAAAGGGTTTGGTTTTGTAGGCTCCTCCCACCCCGCCCCAAACCAGTGATGCAGGTGTGTGCGGGTGTTTGCCTGCTGTATCGGGAACCGTACAGGGAGATGCAGGATAGCAGAGCCAAAGTTTTAAAGCTTTTAAAACCTGCCTTTGAATCTTAACCTGGCTCCTGCGCCAGCACACCTTTCTGACTATGTCAAGGTACTGAAGTATTGGAGTGTTGCAATTCTCACGCGGTTGTAGCTACCTGCGTTTTCACGGACCAGCCAACAGGGACAAGTCTACCTATTCACACGCTTTTATTAAGAGGCTGCACTCTCTCTCCTCTCCCTGCTTTGCAATTTTCTCCTACTTACAAGATCCCCAGACCAAGCCATCTGCTTGAATGCTTCGAACACACTCCTCCAGTTTGGCCATGTCTGTCTCATCATCCCAGGGTTTCACATCAAGCAAGATTGAGGACTTGGCAACAACAGCTGGTTCTGGTGGAAGAAAATCACCATTAAAAGCTAGGAAATTTTCAAAAACTCATTAATACACTCGCAAACTAGCTTTACATGAACACATTTCCCAGTTTCATCAACAGGAACCTCCTCACGCAGCTGCAACATGCCTCTTGTACCAACACACATTTCAAGAGTAATTAAGCTATGCATATCCCGATGTTCAAGGTGTAGATATGCACGTTCTTGAGAAATAATCTCATAAAAAAAACCTAAATTAAGAAGCTAACGTTGTATGTTACATAGGAATTCCTTTTCAGAGGATCTGAGAAGGAGCTTAATGCTGTGTAACAGTTTATTTTCCACAGAGGGAATACTGCAACTGCTACAGTTCTGAACAGTTCCAGACCAGTAGCTGTGGAGGGACTTGCGTATCGTAGGTTCTTCTCTAAACGTTCCAAGAAAATCCCAGGGTTATCTCCGTTTATATAGAAAGTTCATCCTCTGGGTAAGACAAACAAGAGTGTATTAAGCAAGTCGAAAGTGACATTACGATTCCCATTTGCTATGGGAAAGGCTAAGCTCACGGGCAATCCAAGTGAATCCAATTACTTCCATGTCATTCCAGTCAAGCTTATCTATTACAGGTAACTCGTGTTTCTAACCATCCTGTTCAAACACACGAAAGTTAACGCAAGCATGAAAGATTAGAAAGTTCTCAGTAGACATACTTTTGGACTTCTTTGATTCATACTGGGCTAGACGTTCTTCCCTCAGTTTCTTGGCTTCTTCACTTTCCTGAAAGAGAAATCCAAAGTCACAGAAAAACAACAAAACCCCGCAGTTTTAAAGCATTACCAAATTGACTGGCATCTGCTCAGGCAAAAACAAATCATCACAACTGTCAGCCGAAAGATGGTGATTTTTTTGTTTTACTCATCATGTAACCAGTCGAAGCTAAAAGTAGACAGTTCACTCCATGGCAATGCATGTCTTTCTAACTCTGAGTTTTTACCTTCCAAGCTTTTCTGTTCTGCAAAGACAACTGAATTTGAGAATTCCAAGTAGCATCTGGTATCAAGGTCACAAATTTAAGTAACTTACATGAGTAAGGCAAAAATCTGCATTATCGGCATTTCTAAAAAACCCATATATAATATGAAAAAAATGTCGCAAGCACCTCCTCATCATCAGATCCAAAGAGATCAATGTCATCATCATCTTTGCTATCTGTGGCTGCACCTGTTGTGTCCTCAACGTCAGGAGGACCGTACTTCCCCAAAGCCTTCTTCACTCCTGGCAAGCTGAAAAAAAACCAGCAGATTATTAGGAACCTACTCAAATGTCAACACAAACACTGCCAGTATGTCAGTAAACCTACAAGTGCATTCATGTAAAAATGCTGCACTTAAAAAAAAAAATCACTGATTCTGCTACTTGAAAACAGAAGCTCCCCAAAGCTCCTGATGACATGCTAGTTGAGACTACAGCAGATCTCATATTCAGAGATTGTTCATCTAAGCTGACATGATCCAGCCCGACATTGCTGCTGCACCTAGGTATATAGCTAGAGAAAGCTTTCTTATTGGAATCATTTATCTGCATTATGTTCTGTATAGGAAAAGTTATCAAATTCCCGTTCGTGCTTCCCTAAAAATATTTTCATTTCTTTAAAAACTAATAGTGACAGAAAACACATTGTTGCAAGGCAACCAATCCTGTGACTCTGGAAGTGTCAGTGAAGGCTTCACCCTGAAAGCTAGCTCTCAACAGCACACCAGGGAAAGGAATCCCCTGAATTAATTCTCCTATAGCTCATGTAGTTCTGTAATCTTAGAATAAGCTTGTAGCTCTATTGTTACTGTGAACTGCTGTTACAAGAGTCGTAAAACTAGCTTTGGCTTTCAGGAACTAGTAGTTTCCAGAGAGCAGTCACTTTTTGAAGCAACTTTATCATCTCAGTCCCCTTTAGCGTTAGAAGAGCTTTGGAAACGTACTGGTGACCAAGTCACCCAACTTTACAAGTGCTCTCTCCAAACAGGACTGAGGCACATAGAGGAGGCAGTGTAGCGACACTGACACTACCTATGCTGTACCTTTTTAGAGAGGCCTGCAGTCTCCATGGATGTCAATACAGCACCTTTCATGAACACTAAAATCACTAAAAAAGAAAAAAGATAAAATTTGCTTTCATATTTCTCCTTCTTTAGATGTGCTTCTGCATTGCAAATCATTGACTTTATTTTCCAGGACTAAAACCCTAAACTCCTTATTTATCATCTACATACTGTATATTTCTCTTTAAAGACTCCTGCAATACTTTCTAACTCATTTCGGTGTTGCCTTTACAGGGCCGATTACTAGCAAGTAATTTCCAGCTTTCTGCAGTAATCTGTGTAAATAGCAGCAACAAAACTCAAGCCTTTCTTAAGAGCTTTAGCAGAAACGTCAGGAACTGAAAAGGAACAGAATCAGGTTGCCTAAATTCTAAGTGAAAAGTGCAATCTACTGACAGAAGACATCTGCTCGGCTTCTAGAGCTGCTCCCGTTCCCACGGCAACACAAAAAGCCACGTGGTACCAGTGAAAGATACTCGTTTGCTCAAACTTGAAAAAACAAATGCCACACTTGACAGGCCGGTTCGCACGTGTATTCCAGCTTCGCAGTTTGACCATACCTCGCCTTCTGCTTTTCGTACGACTTAATGTGATTGTACCACCGAAGAGCGTGAAACAGGTCTGCAGGAGGCGGCGCAGCGATTGCTTCAAAGACCGCTATATCGGCCTGCGAAGGG